CCCGCCCCAGACCCAGCCAATGACGATCCGAGGCCGGACCGGGGACGTGCGGGCTAACGGAAATGGGCGGGGCGTCGTCCCCCGGCGGCCGCCCCCCGCGCCCCGCCGCCACTGGGGGCAGCAGAGCGGACCGGATCGCCGGGGGAGCGGAGGTGAGCGAGGTCTGCCTGCCCGGCGAGGGACGCCAGCGCCCCCAGCCCAGGCTCCTCGGCCCTGTCACGGCGACCCAGCGGCGACCACCGCCTCCCAGCAGGCCCGTCATCCTGCCCTCGCGGCACCTGTCCCTAGTGACACGCCACTACCCCTCGTCCCCGCCGCATAGCCTGCGCCCCAGGCTTCCCTCAGCTTCGCCCCACGGTCTCCCTCACCACCAGTGTCCCCTCACCCTCCCAGTGTCCCCTCACCTCCACAGTGTCCCCTCATCCCCACTGTCCCCTCACCCCCAGTGTCTCGTCACCTCCAGTCTCCCCTCACCTCCCCACTGTCCCCTCACCCTCCACAGTCTTCCCTCACCCCCAGGCTCCCCTCACCCTCCCTTCATTCCCCCACCCCCACACCTCCCCTCTTCCCCAACCCTGCTATTTTAGACAATCTCATCAAGGTGAAGTGCCAGTAAGGAATCTGTGGCCTTCTTCCCGCCCACCCCCTCCCGCACCTTAGCTCCAAAAAAAGGACACCAGTTGAGAGGCATCATGTTGGGGGAAGCCCAGAGAGCACAGGAGAACCACTCTACAGCAAAGGTCAAGAAGACTTTGGGCACATAGCCACATTGTTAGTGAGAACAATACCACAGCATCTATGCCCTATTCCTCCCTGGTTTGGGGTTTTTGTTTGTTTGTTTGAGAGAGATTTTTTCCTATAGGGCACGTGTGTTCACTGGAGAGACAGAAACAGGATCAGAAAGGAAGAAATCTTGGGACCAGCAGTTAGCAGTAATGGCTATGTCGCTAGCGTAATGGCTATGTCGCTGGACTCCCATGTAGTTGACTGCAGTTCAAGTCCCGGACCTGGTGGCTTAAACTCACGACGGGCGCGTGTGCGTGCGCGCGTGCGTGCCCAAGATCCCGAGATTGCGGCATGGCCATCCCCTCTGGGGGGTGATTTCTTGCTTTCTCTCTCTCTCTCTCTTTCTCTCTCTCTCTCTCTGGCGAGGGCATGCGCCCTATAGCAAAAACCTCTCAAAAAAAAAATAAAAAGCAAGAAATCTTGGGACCAGCAGTTGGTGTAATGGCCAGGTCTGTGGATTCCCATGTAATCAACCACGGTTCAAGTCCTGGACCCGGTGGCTTAAACACACCGAGAATGTGTACATGTGTGCCCGGGATAGCCATGCTATAATTCCCTTCTCAATTCTCTTCTCTGGATTTAGTACAAGCACAAGTGTCTGGTGTGGATGTGAGTTTCAGCCTGCCATGTCCGGGACTCAGATTACTGTTGGCCACGAGGGAGTACAACACCTTAACTACTGTGTCCCCGTACCTCCCTGTTTTATATCCACTTGACTCATTCCTTCACCTTTAAGAGGTTATAAATTCCCTGACAGTTCCTACAGTGATATTAATATATTTCTGTCTCATTTTATCTAGCCTAGTGCTTGTAAACAAACAGGTAAGTATCAAATTAAATGAATTAATATATATTAATAAAAACCAGGGGGCCGGCAGGTAGCATGGTGGTTAAGGTGATAGACTCCCACTTGGTCGACTATGGTTCAAGTCCCAGACCTGGCAGCTTGCTTTCTTACTTTTCCCCCACCTCTCTCTCACTTTGTCCTGCTCTGATCAAATTAAAATAAATAAAGTTAAATAAAATAGTTCTTTTTTAAAAATTATTTTATTCAATTTCATTTGTTCATTCATTCATTTATTTTAATTTGACCAGAGAGACACAGAAAAAGAGAGAGGAAAGTGAGAAAGCAAGCCACCAGGTCCGGGACTCGAACCATGGTCGGCCATGTGGGAGTGTCCAGCGCCTCACCCACCACGCCACTTGCCAGTCCCAAAGTTAAATAAAATAATTCTTTTAAAAAAATCAGGAGCGGGGACCAGTAGGCGATGTGGTGTTTGGGACACTGGACTCTCACATGGCCGACCACAGTTTGAATCCCAGACCTGGAGCCTTTCTTACTTTCTCTCTCTCTGGTGCATGCATGTATCTGCCCTATAGCAAATTAGTAAAAGTAATAAAATAATAATAATAATAAATAAATAAAATAAATTTTTTTAATCAGGAGATGAACTGGAGTGATTTAATTATAGTTGAACATTTTAAATGGCATTTGATATGATTTATTAAGTGCCCATTATGGTAGATACTATGCTGAACAGTATATAATTTAATCCTTACCAAAAAAATTAAAAAATAGAAGTATAGGTACCATTAATAGGTACCTTTTGTATTATACTTTTTCAGGGTTTTGCCATAGGGCGCATGCTCACCAGAGAGAGAGAGAGAAAGTGAGAAATCAGTCCCCAGGGGAGATGGCCATGCTACAATCCCTTGTCTTCCATTGTCCTCCAGGGATTTTTTTTTTCAAACATACACATATTTTAATTGTTATAATTTTTAATTGGGTTACACTTTTAGAAAAAAAACATCACAAAGGACTTTCCTGCCATAATATACTTTTGAAACATATGCTGGTTCAGTTGAAACAACAGGTTCTCCAGGGATAGGAGGAAGACCTGCTGTTTCCACAACTCTTGGTTCAGGTTCATTCAATTGTAGAAGCTCATAAAAAGTATGTTTGCCCTGCTTTGTACCTTACACTGATTAATATGTGTAATAACAAACCACTCTAAAGTCCAGTTCCTTCCTTAAGGTTTCACCTTTTGAGTGATGTTCTAAAGACATACTTGAAGTGGTTCAATAATCAAGATGGTAACACACTGTTAAGTGAGCAGATTGGGAATGGAGTTCTATCAGCCTCCTGCAGACTTGGGAGTCAGCTTAGGCTCCAGATGGGGCATGGCCACTGGTAAATGTGGAAACACTGAAATCAAAGGCTCAATACTAACTGGCCCTCCCCAAATCAAACAGAACTGAGGCTTTATTACACATGAATAGGAAGTCTTACCTGTCACTTGTGTAACCTTGGATGCCATATTTGACAAGCTGTAACTTTCTGAGGAATATACTTTGGGTGTAGTTACCCTCTGGGTTGATGGCTGAACTGGCAAGTTCATTTTAAGCATTTGAACAAAGCTAGGGACCGGAGGACTCTGAAACCAATCATTGTTACCAGACATTTTCTCACCCAAATCGTCCTTCGTGCCCTCTCCGCTGGCCCCGCTGGCAGGCAGGAAGGACGGCAGCTGCAAGCCGAGCCTCAGGCTGGGGACTCGCTGGCCGCCACCGCTGCCACCTCCGCCGTTGCTTCCTCCTCTAGGCCTCAACCTCCCACGTCAGACGGCTCTGCTATGTGAGAGCCACGGGGTCAGACCCGCGTCTTTCAAAAGCGGCCTCCCGCTGCCCCTGCAGACCGGGCCGGCGCCCCCGCGCCCCCTCCTCCAGGGATTTTGGACACCCACATACACGCGCCCAGTGTGATTTCCAAGCTGCCAGGTCCAGGAGTCAAAACTTTGGTCAGCCATGTGGCAGTCCAGTGCCATAATCACCATGCCACTTGCAGGTCCATCTCTCCTAATCTTTTAATTTATATTTTCCAGAGCTTATGAGACACTCTCACAGGTTTCTTATAGCTAAGTTAAATTCAATATTTTAAAATTTCATTTAATTACCCAATCATCCAAAATAGAAAATGAGAGTTGTCTTTGATACCTCCCCATCAGGTTTGTCAGACCCACCTTCGGTGTTCTGAGCTCCCTATTTCTCTATTCCCATGGGATCACTTTGGTTTAAGCTGTCATTTCTTCCAGGTCTGCCACCACCATAAGCACCACCCTGACACTTCTACCTGAGAGGTAGAAGCAGGTATGTGCTTCTACCTTCACTACACTGCTTTGCTCTGACTCCACACCAGATCCTCTGTTGCAACATGCACCCCTGTCAAAGCTTGGGTGCTTGCTGACCCCTCATTCAGGAATACTTTGCCTTCAAGTATGGGACATGAGAGATGTGAGACATGGCTTACGCTCTCATCTGAACCCAGGTGGTTCTACTCTAGGGCAAGGACTCAGTTCCTATGGGACACTACCACTAATTTCCAAAGCAGTCCTTCTGGAAAGTTAATCTGCAAATTGGTGAATAATTTCACATTTTAAAGTTAAACTTAACAGGCTATCAGGTGCCATGGTGGTTAAGGCACTGTATCCCACATGGCTGACTCTGTGGTTCAAGTCTTAGCTCAGAGGCTTGAAAAACATGCCAGGTGTATGTGCATACATGCTCAAAATCCCAAGAGAATAGAGAAGAAGGGATTGCAGCATGGCCATACCCCCTAGGGGTTGATTGCTCATTTTTTTTCTCTCTTTTTCTGCCAAACACACAAGTAAAAAACTTAAACTTACCTTCTTCAAGGATCCCATAGCTTCATTTATGTATTTATTATATTACTATGGGGTCTCCAATATTCTGGTTTGTCATATGATGTGTATATATATATATATACACACACACACACATATATATATATATATATATAACTTATTCCTGTATTACAGTAGAAATTCCTTAGATGCAGAGGTTGTATCTTCATAACATAACAGCACAATAGTTTCCATTTTAGTGGTGTTCAATACATTTTTGTCAAAATAAATCCACTATTCTGTTACCATCATAGCAAACATTTTTTCCCTTATGACAAATGAAATGTCTTTTGCTTGAATCATTCTAACCCTCAATTCTTTTTTTTAAAGAATTTCATTTTGGGACCAGCAGGTGGCTTGGTGGTTAAGGCACTGGGCACTCCCACATGGCCGACCAGGGTTCAAGTCCTGAATCTGGTGGCTTGCTTTCTCATTTCCTCTCTCTCTCACTCTCACTCTCTATCTCTCTCTGGTCAAATTAAAAAATAAATAAATGAATAAAAAATAAAATAAATAATATTTTTTTTAAAAAGAATTATTTCATTTTACTTTATTTATTTATTTAATTATATTTGGCTAGAGAGGGACAGAGTAAGAGAAAGAGAGGGAAAGTGAGAAAATAAGCCACCGGGTTCAGGACTCAAACTACAGTCGCCCATGCTGGAGCCTAGCGCCTTTAACCACCAGGCCACCTGTTGGCCCCTCCTCAGTTATGTTTGAAGAGTGTTTCTAAGGCAAGGATTAAAGAAAGGGGAGAAAAAATGAGTATGTGTCAAACACTATACTGAACCCCATTTTATATACATTCTCATTTAATGTTTATAATAGCTCTATGGAGTAGGTAGAATTATAAATCTGAGAGGTGAGAAAATATTTATTTATTTGTTTATTTTAAGTTTTTACCATAGGGCATGTGTACTCATCAGAGAGAAGAAGAGAAACAGTGAGAAGGAATATGAGAAATCATCCCACAGAGGGATGGCCACACTGCAATCCCTTCTCCTCCATTCTCCTCTTGGGATATAGGGCATGCATGCATATGTACCCACTATGAATTTCAAGCCACTGAATCTGGGACTTGAACCATAGTCGGTCATATGGGAGTCCAGAGCCTTAACTGCTACATCATTTGCTAGCCCCAAAGAAAGGATTCATCAGAGGAATCATCCAACTGTGAGTAGTAGAGCTGGAATTGAAACATCAGTTTGTCTCACTGCAGCCTCTCTCTATGTACCTAGATGGCTGATTCTGACTCTGGGGGAAAAAACTATGACAGCATGCTGAAAATGCTCTCAGATCTGAATAAAGACTTAGAAAAGCTTTTGGAAGAGATGGAGAAAATCTCAGGTAGGATGTTTTCTCACACAGGGTGCCTTCCCCTTCTTGCCAATAGGTGAAATTTCCCTAAACTTTTGAGCTCACATGAAGTGCCTTCTTTTAAGGAGGCCTTCCCTGACCACCTCTCAGCTTTCATAGAGTGTTAACTGCCGTACCACAGAATTCAGCACTTACCACTAAATTGTTTTCTAATTGTTTTATGTGTTTCCATCGTATTTCTGCAACTGGACTGTTATCTTCTTTTTATTTATTTACTTTTTAAATTTTTAATTTTCCCCCCCATGGTAGAAAGAGAATGAGAGGAGAGAAAGAGACGGACCAGCAGTTAGCGTAATGGCTATGTCGCTGGATTCCCATGTAGTCGACTGCAGTTCCATTCCTGGACCCGGTGGCTTAAAACTCACGCCGGGCGTGTGTGTGTGCATGCCCAAGATCACCTGGCCTGGATTACAGATGTATGAATACCCAGCATGCTCAGGGAGGTCCCAGGATGTGATTCCTAGGACATTTCCCATATAGGTCCAGTTGTATTACCACTGTGCCATCACCTGGCCCCTGGACTATACTCTTCTTGAGGGCAGAAATAGTGACTTCTTTTGTAATTGGCACAGTATCAGAGTCAAACTCATAAGTTCAGCAAAAGACAAACACAACCCCAACACACATCTTTTAAAGGCTTAATGGTGGTAATAATCTCTGCAGTTTCTCTAGAAATGCACTGTTGCTTTTGGTTTGCTACTTTCATAAGTAAAAACAATCCTGCTGGCTTTCATTTGTCCTTTCCCACCATAAGAGCCCTCACTCCATAAGTCAGGGAGCCTATGTAGGTATTCTTCCCATTGGCGAATATGTCTGTTTCAATTCTGCACTCAGAAGCTGAGGAAAATACCTGCAAGGTGGATTCAGAAATCCTTTGAGCCCACTGCAAGACAGATTCAAGCTAGAACACTGTTGATAACCTTTATAAGCCCCTACTCGAGTAGACCAGTGACGTTTTTGTTTTTGTTTGTTTGTTTGTTAGGACATGTGCGCTCGCCAGAAAGACAGAGAGAAACAGAGAGATAGAAAGCAAGAAAGCACCCCCGGGGGATGGCCACACCGCAGTTCCTTCTCCTCCATTCTCTTCTCGGGATCTTGGGCATGCACACACACGTGCCTGGTGTGAATTTAAGCCACCAGGTCCAGGACTCAAAACGTGGTCGGCTCCATGGGAGTTCAGAGACATAGCCGTTACGATAACTGTTGGCCCTGACCAGTGATGTTTTAAGTTTCCAGAAATTATTGTCATTTCAGAACCAGTGTCCAGTAATCTTCGAAAGATCTGCTTATTTCCAATCCTTCAACAGTACTGTGTGGGGTCCCTGTTGCTGAAGTTCATAGTTCATGCTCATGTAAGGAAGAAAAATACCAACTAATTATAATAGATTTTGTTGAGTGGTAAGACTGAACATCTCATAGTGCTAAAGGACAGCCAAAAGGAAATCTTAATTTAATATAATGAGACAGGGAAGACCTCTCAGAATAAATGACATCTCAGTTAAGATTGAAATATAATGTGGTTGGAACCAGCAGTTAGCGTAATGGCTATGTCGCTGGACTCCCACGTGGTCGACCGTGGTTCACGTCCCGGTCCTGAGGGCTTAAAACTCACGCCAGGCGTGTGTGCGTGTGTGCCCAAGATCCCGAGAGGAAAATGGAGGAGAAGGGATTGCGGCATGACCATCCCCCCTGGGGGGTGATTTCTCGCTTTCTGTTTCTATGTCTCTCTCTGTCTGGCTGGCAAGCGCACGCGCCCTATAGCGAAAACCTTTCAAAAAATAAAATAATAAAATAATAAATGAGGGCTGGCTGGTGGCATAGTGGTTAAGGGCACTGGACGCCAGCATGGCTGACTGCAGTTCGAGTCCTGGACCTGGCATCTTGCTTTCTCTCTCTCCTCTCTGGTTAAATTAAAATAAATAAATAAATAAAGTTAAACAAAATAATCCTTTTAAAAATAAATGAATATGGGGCCGGCAGGTGGCATGGTGGTTAAGGTGTTGGAATTCCCACATGGCTGACCATGGTTCAAGTCCAGGACCTGGTAGCTTGCTTTCTCACTTTCCCTCTCTTTCTCTCTCTCTGTCTTTGGCAAAATTCATGTGAAAAATAATAATAACAATAATAAATAAATAAATAATTCTTTAAAAATAAATAAATAAATGAATAAATAAAATTAAATAGAATAATTCTTTTTAAAAAAGAAATATAAGCATGTGGTAACTAAATGAAAGATGAAATAGGAAATTGGAGAGATGAGTGTTTGAGAATACAGAAAGAGGTTTAGAAGTTTGGGAAAAGAGAGTTCAATTACGAACATGCTGTATTGAAAGTACCAGTTATACATAGTGTATGAAATGTTCTACACACTGTCAAAGAAACAGGACTGGGTGTTTTAAAAGCATCATATATTTGTCCATTCATTCATTCATTCATTCAACACTTTTTGAATGCCAAGTGTTTCATTCAAGTTATTTATTTTTATTTTTTATTAATTAATTAATTTATTCATTCATTTATTTTTTTAATTTGACCAGAGAGAGAGAGAGAGAAAGGGATAAAAGAAGCCGCCAGGTCCAGGACTCGAACCATGGTTGGCCATGTGGGAGTGTCCAGCACCTTACCCACCATGCCA